CAACATAAGAAACAGACATGAAACACATGAAGGATAAAGGAGACTTAACACAAGGGTTGAAAACACAAGGGGAATATAATAAGCAAATGAACATAGAAATCTAATGAGCTTAAACATAAACTATAAACATCAAAATGAACTAAAACTCAAAATGCTGGGTCATAAGACCCAGGATCGTGACAACGTATTTACAGAGCCCTCCAATTAAGCAAATACAAGTAACCTGCAATAAATGACGGGTAGTAATAAAGTAAACTACTAACTCTTTTACGCTACGTCCACACCTACACGGGTATTTTTGAAAACGCAGCTGTTTCGTCCACACGTAAACGGCGTTTCGAATCACTGAAAACGGAGATTTTTTAAAACTCCTTTTTTGCGGACGAGGAATACAGAGTTCGTCTGGCAACATCAAAGGTATGTGCCTCTTTTCACCTCAGGCTGTGCGCCACGTTATTGTTTACATGAGATAAATTGCAGAATGGCAGATCGAGACGAAATACTGTTACTGTTAATCTGACTGTCTTCAGGTTTTACACGCAGTTACTGTCCCTCCATTTACAAAGGCAGAGGCGTCACCGTGTGATTATTTTACGTGTAGTTGTTTTTTTCTTCTTCTGTGTAATAATATTCAACATTGTTATCAATATATTTTTCAAAAAATGCCTCTCTGTGCACTCGCCCTATGACAGCTGGGACAGCCTCTCTGTGCAAAATGGGTTTAAAAACATAAACAACTGTGGGATACTGTTTGTCCGTGATTTGAATGGGGGACAAATCGTGGCAGGATCAGCCTGATATTATTTGTATCCCGCTGTAACTTTACTGTATACAGAGCTAAGTTTACTCTATTTAATTTGTAAAATATGTGTATATATATATATATATATATATATATACACACTCACACACGTAGAAAAACATATTTAGTTCAGTAATGCATATACTATTATATATTGTACATATATTTATTAGTTTCAGATTTAGCCATTCTTATATTTTGCTTGTTTTACGTTATTGTATTTTTGCACAACTCTGTTGCTTGTGAAGCTCGCACACAAGAATTTCACTCACATGTACTGTACCAGTGTACCTGCACATGTGATGTTACAATAAAAGTGATTTGATTTGATTT